TAAAGAAATAGGGAATTTTCTTCATACAAATGTGGTTATGGAGATAAGCCACATTTGTATGAAGAAAATTCCCTATTTCTTTTCAATAATTTCAACATATTTTGATTTGCTGAGGCAATGGACCAGACTCCGTGACAGAACCCCCATAGGGTTTGAAAATGTCTAAACAGACAAATTTCAGATTTCTAGAAATTCTCCAAAACAAGCCAGCCATCTGGATGCACTAGTTCTCTTCCTGCTATCTGGGTGAAATCTGTTTCAATTTTTCGTGATGTCACAGAAGTGATGTGTTTGAGGTGTTGCCATATGTGTGCCTCTGTTTAACCCAAATGTTCTAAATTAACAACAATAAGAAAAATTTATTAAATATTGTAAAAGACATTCAGTCATGTTCCATCAAGAATCCACACTAGATTGGTAGTTTTTACTCCTAATTTGAGGTTCATCTGGAGATAAATATTTCTCCCATCAACAAAGCAGGTGCTATCAAAGTATTGAAACTGATTTTGTTCCCATTGCTCAATTTTTGAGCATATTTTGCAATGAATGGCATCTTTAAATATCAGTGACGTGCGGTGAGGTTCATAGCTGGTGAGGCACCGACTTAATTATAATCGGATTTGGAAAACTAGACCCCCTGCATGTTATTGTTTACTTGAGGAAATTTCGCGCATGCGTACAATGCTGGAGGGCAGAAAAGACTATTCTTTAACATTTGATGCTTAGCCGCGCCGCAGAATAATTCCGTTATCTCAATCAAACTTAGACATGTAGATATTATTAATTTCGTGCTGTGCTTAACAGCAAAGGGAGAAACCGTTAAAGTACCACTCAAAATCACGTTTTTCTCGCTCTCTGTATCAGCTCAGCTACTGTATGGTTAGCTCGCTGTTACTGTCTCTTACTCTGCAGTTGTGGAGTCACAATGTCTGGGATCATGAGCGCCCCCAGCGATGAGGCATGAGAACTGCCTGCCTCACCTCTAATCTGTATGGCGTTTGCCGTCTCAAATAATATGCCATTTATGATCGCTCCTCA